TCATCATCACCACCACCACCAACATAATCATCATCATCACCACAACCATCACCACCATCATCATCATCATCATCGTCAGCACAACCACCACCATGATCATCATCATAATCAGAATCGGCATCATCATCATCATCACCACCACCACCATCATCACCATCAGCATCAGCATCAGCATCAGCATCCGCATCAGCATCGTCCTAATCATCAGCATCATCGTCACAGCAGCATCAGCATCAGGATCATCATCATCATCACCACCACCATCATCACCACAATCATCGTCATCATCATCAACATCACCATCAGAATCATCATCATCGTCAACATCGTCATCAGCAGCAGCATCATCATCGTCATCAGCATCAGCATCGTCAGAATCATCACCATCATAACCATCAGCAGCTTAATCATAATAGCATCATTATCAGCATCATCATTAGCATCATCATCACCACCACCACCACCATCATCATCATCATCACCACTTCCATCATCATCATCATCCTCAGCAGCAGCATCATCATCATCGTCAGCATCATCATGGTTAGCAACATCATCATCATCATCATCAGCATCATCACCACCACCACCATCATCATCATCACCGCCACCACAACCATCAACACCATCATCATCATCATCCTCATCACCACCACCACCATCATCATCATCATCATCAGCATCAGCATTGGCAGCAGCATCAGCATCATCAGAATCAGCATCATCATCAGCGTCATCACCAACATCATCATCGTCAGCATCATAAGCAGCATCATCATCAGCATCAGCATCAGCACCATCATCAGCATCATCACCAACATCAGCATCATCAGCATCTCCACCACCACCATCACCACCATCATCATCATCATCATCACGACCACCATCATCATCATCATCATCATCATCATCATAATCATCATCATGAGCATCATCATGATCATCATCATGATCATCATCACCATCATGAGCACTAGCATCAGCATCATCAACATCCTCATCGACACCACCACCACCACCACCACCATCATCACCATCGTCATCGTCAGCATCATCGGCATCAGGATCAGCATCAGCAGTAGCATCAGCACCATCAGCATCAGCAGCATCATCGGGAGCATCATCATCAGCAGCAGCACCATCGTCAGCATCAGCATCATCATCGTTAGCATCATCAGCAGCATCATCATCATCATCATTACCATCCTTAGAATCAGCATCCTCATCATCATCATCATCATCGTCATCATCAGCAGTATAATCATCAGCACTATCAACACCCTTATAGCATCATCATAAGCAGCAGCATCATCATCATCATAATCATCATCATCATCAACATCGACACCACCAACTCCACCATCATCATCATCGTCATCGCCACCACCACCATCATCAGCATCAACATCAGCATCAGCATCAGCCTCATCATCAGCATCATCATCAGCACCAGCATCATCATCATTATCACGACCACCACCGCCATCACCATTATCATCATCAGCATCAACATCACCACCACAATCATCATGACCACCACCACCATCACCGCCTTCATCATCATCATCATCATCATCATCATCATCATCATCATCATCATCATCATCATCATCATCTATATCAGCATCAGCATCGTCATCAGCATCAGCATCAACATCAGCATCGTCAGCAGCATCATCATCAGAAGCATCATCTTCATCACCGCCACCAACATCACAACCATCATCATCACCATCATCATCATCAGCACCATCAGCATAAGCATCATCATCATCGGCATCATCGTCAGCATCAGCATCAGCAGCATCAACAGCAGCATCATCATCACCATCACAACCACCACCATCATCATCACCCTCAGCAGCAGCATCATCATCGTCACCACCACCACCACCATCACCAACATCAGCATCATCACCACCACCACCATCATCATTAGCATCATCAGCATCACCACCACCATGACCACCATCATCATCAGCATCAGCATCATCATCATCAGCATCATCATCGTAATCATCAGCATCAGCAACATCATAATAACATCATCATCATCAACAGCATCATCATCAGCGTCATCATTATCACCACCACCACCATCATCACCAGCATCACCACCACCACCATCATCATCATTATCAGCAGCAGCATCAGCATCAGCATCAGCATCATCATCAGCATCAGCATCATCATCGTCAGCATCATCATCATCAGCATCATCATCAGCAGCATCATCACCACCATCACCACCATCATCATCACCATCACCACCATCACCACCATCATCATTTTCATCACCACCACCACCACAATCATCATCATCACCACCACCACCATCATCATCACCACCATCACCATCATCATCATCATCCTCAGCCTCACCATCAGCATCAACATCATCATCAGCATCAGCATCAGCATCATCATCATCATCATCATCATCATCATCATCATGATCATCATCATCATCATCATCATCATCATCATCATCATCATCATCATCATCATCGTCAGCATCATCATCAGCATCATCATCAGCATCATCGTCACCACCACCACCATCGTCATTAGCATCATCATCATCACCACCACCACCATCACCACCATCACCATCATCATCATCATCACCACCACCATCATCATCATCACAACCAACATCATCATCATCATCAGCATCAGCATCGGCATCAGCATCATCATCATCAGCATCATCATCGTCAGCACCATCATCAGCATCATCACCATCGTCAGCATCAGCATCAGCATCAGCATCAGCATCATAATCATCACCACCACCATCACCACCATCATCATCACCACCACCACCACCACCACCATCATCATCATCATCACCACCACCACCATCATCTTATCTGAATCATTATCAGCATCAGCATCAGCATCACCATCACCACCACCACCATCATCATCATCATCATCATCATTATCATCAGCAGCAGCATCATCATCTTCATCACCACCACCATTATCTTATCTGAATCATTATCAGCATCAGCATCAGCATCAGCATCAGCATCACCACCACCACCATCATCAGCATCATCATCACCACCACCATCATCATCACCACCATCATCATCATCATCAGCAGCAGCAGCATCATCATGATCATCATGATCATCATCATCAGCAGCATCATCATGATCATCATCAGCAGCAGCAGCATCATCCTCACCATTGGTTGAACTCAGGTCTTGGCCCGATTTGGGCCACCCTGGGGGCTCTGCCCGCACAGCCCCCGAGCTGCCTGGCGCGGACGGACGCTCGCGATGCGCGCCAGGGCGCGGCCAAGGCCTCCAGGAGCGGTGCGGTCGCGCCGTGGCGCCGTGCCTGCTGGGAAAACTCTAGCATTGGGTCGGGCACGCCCCTCTACACATACTGAGAAATATTCCAAAATAATAAATAACAAAAAAAACAAATAACAAAAAAAAAACACGAGGCTTCCAAGAGGCCCCCCAGAGCTTCCCAAGAAGCCCCCAGACTACCCCGAAGAGGCCCCCGAGAGCGCTCGTCGTCGTCGTCGTCGACGTCGTGGCCGTAAGGCCTTCGCAATACTCAGAAACAGTCAAAAATAGTCAAAACTAGTCTGGGGACGATCTGTTAATATCTTTGTTGACCATTCCGGAATATGTTCCTACTGTGTCATGTTTTTGTTCGTCCAAGGTCCCCCTTGTCGGAGGACACGCCCGATCTGACTCTCGCGGTGTCGAGCACGAGCGGGAGACAGGAGCAGCGGGGAGCAGACATCGGGGATGGACAGACCCCCCTGTAATAAAACGTGATTTGTGAAAACGACCTGAGGCCCAAACCTGGCGGGCGCAAGCCTGGAAAGTAACGGCCACGGCGCCCTCTCGAGAACCGAAAACGGACAATTCACTAATCGACGTGTCACTGTTGGGGGTTCTGTCCACCCCCGAAGACAGGAGGGCAGGGGCAGGAGACCCGAGGAGGAGGAGGAGGAGGAGGAGGAAGAGGAGGAGGAGCAGGAGGAAGAGGAGGAGGAGGAGGAGGAGGAGGAGGTGTCGAGCGCGAGAGGGAGACGGAAGCAGCTGGGAGCGGACAGAGGGCAGGGACAGGAGCCGAGGGATGCTCCTCCGAGCTGAGGGGCCACTTCCGGCGGGGACCCAGCCTGCACGGTTTCCTCCGGTGCCGCAGGCGACCCGGAGGAGGAGGAGGAGGAGGAGGAGGAGGAGGGGGAGGGGGGGGGGGAGGGGAGATGGAAGAGGAGGAGGAGGAGGAGGAAAGAGGCAGGAGGAGGAGGAGGAGGGGGAGACGGGTTGCCTAAGCCCTTCGGAGAAACCCTCCAGACCAGCCTTGGAGGGGGGAGAAAGGTCGGTCGGCGGTGGATAAACCTCCCTTTAGCAAACCACCCTTTAGTGAAAACGGCCCAGCACCGAAACCGACGGACCTGAACCCGCAGAAGTGGCGGCCGCGACGCCCCCTCGCGAGCCGAAAACGGCCAATTCGCTGATCGACGTGTCCGGGCAGGATGCCTATCAACCTCAGAAAAGATCGCACGGGAATCGGCGATGCATCCCCGACAGATCGGCGATGCGTCCGCGACGGCGAGTCCGCACGGTCCCTCGAGGGGGCGGGCTGTCGAGCCCCCACCGGCAATCCATTGGACGAGTGGGGGTCGATGCATCTCCTCCTCCTCCTCCTCCTCCTCCTCCTCCTCCTCCTCCTCCTACTCCTCCTCTTCCTCCTCCTCCTCCTCCTCCTCCTCCCATCCGCCTTGGGCCTAAATCCTCCCCGAATGTTGCCCCTGACCCTCCCAGCAGAGCTTCGCAACTGGTCGCAACGCGGCTCTGCCCGCACTCTGAGATATATACGTGTTGCTCCGACGACGGCACGACCAGGCATGGCCGCGAGGATTGCTCGATTGCTTCATTTGGACTTGTGAAGAAAGAGAAATGCTCTGCCCGCACTCCCCCGAGCTGCCCCCGCCCTACGGAACCAGGGCGGCCGGCGCGCATCTCCTGCTTCCGGGGGAGGGGCGGCGCCACCGGAACCTGGCTGCCCAGGGCGTCGCGTGGAAGAAGAGGGAATGGGGAGAAGGAGGGCAAGGAGGAGGACGAAGAGGAGGAGGCCCAGAGTAAAGCCAAAAGAATTCAACGATGCTGCAATACACCCTCCCGTCCCAAGTCCCCTCCCCATAGGTCCGTACAAGTCCTCCTTCTCACTACAAGAGACAACCCCTGGAAAACTCTGGGGGGGGGCGACAAGGAGGAGTTATGTATACTTCAGAGTGCACCTGTAGAAAGGGTGGTGATCTGATTCGGGGGGGTCTGGTATGAGCTGTCTTCGAAGGTTCCAGCGGGGTCTGGGCAAAAGGCCGCCCTTTCATGGCTGGTCTCGGAAAGTGCTCGTCTGGGATGGTTGTGACCCCTCCCTATTGTTACGAAATCCCACCACCACCCCTCTGGGCGCGAGTGGTTTCGGGCATTTTCTCTTCTATCGTTACTTCTCCTCCGGGGATGGGTTTACCCCTCCCCCTACCCCTTTCCCCCTGGACCTCCCAAAACACCCGCAACGACGGTATACACAACTGCTTATGGCTGAGTCTTTCGCCAGGGTAATTAAACAACTGGATGTGCAAGGTGGGTGTTCAAAAAACTATGCGCGCGCCTTGGCGGAAACATACGGAAACGATAGGCTTTTCAACATGTCCATCAAAATCGACCACGCGGGGCTCTCGCGCGCGCATGTCGAAAACATCCGATAAACATTGCGCGCTTGCTCGGGGGCTACGGTGGTCCCACTCGCGCGCCTGCCGCCTCCTCCTCCTCCTCCTCCTCCTCCTCCTCCTCCTCCTCCTCTTCCTCCTCCTCCTCCTCCTTCATCTTGCTACTCATCCCTATTACTCATCCCCCTCCCCCTCCTTGTACTCGTCCTCATCCTGCCTCCTGCCTCCTCCTCCTCCTCCCTCCTCCTCCTCCTCCGCCTCCTCCTCCTCCTCCTCCTCCCTCCTCCTCCTCCTCCTCCTCCTCCTCCTCCTCCTCCTCCTCTCCTCCTCCTCCTGCTCCTCCTCCTCCTCCTCCTCCTCCTCCTCCTCCTCCTCCTCCTCCTCCTCCTCCTCCTCTCCTCCTCCTCTCCTCCTCCTCCTCCTCCTCCTCCTCCTCCTCATCCACCTCCTCCTCATCATTATCCTCCTCCTCCTCCTCCTCCTCCGCCTCCTCCTCCTCCTCCTCCTCCTCCTCCTCCTCCTCCTCCTCCCCCCCCCTCCTCCTCCCTCCCCTCGCCTCCCCATCGGCATCCTGCCCTCCCCTCGCCTCCCCCCTTTCCCGTTCTCCCCGACCGGCGGCGGGCAGCCTCCACCTGCTCCCCGGCGCCGCCCCTGGGGCACGCGCCGCGGGTCCCGCCGCCGTTCCGTCCGCCGCCCGTGCATGCCTCGCCACGCCAGTCTCGGAATGGGGGGAGCCAGAGGGAGGGGGCAGACGGGGAAGGAGGAGGAGGGAGGAGGGGAGGGGAGGAGGACGGAAGGAGGGAGGGGGGGGGGAGGGGGAGGGAGAGGGGGCAGAAGGGAAGGAGGAGGGGAAGGAGGAGGGGGGGGAGGGGAGGAGGGGAAGAGGACGGAAGGAGGGAGAGGGGGGGTTGGGGGGGGAGGGGAGCAGGAAGACGAGGGGGAGGGGGGGCAGGAGGGGGGAGAGGGCGGCCACGACGACGAGACCGAGGACGAGGAGAAAGACGAGGAGATGGAACAGGGGGAAGCACGAGGAGGGGAGAAAGGAAGATGGACTGGGCACAGGAGGAGGAACAAGATGAGGCGGAGGTGGGGAATATCAGGAAAAGGGAGTTGCCCGATGAAAACGGAAAGAGGACGATACCGAGGACGACGAGGATACGAGGAGGACGGGGAAGAGAGGGGCAATGAGGGTGAGAACGGGGAGGAGGAGGAGGAGGAGGAGGAGGAGGAGGAGGAGGAGGAGGAAAAGGCGGGGAAGGAGTATCCATCCTCACGTTCTTGCCCATACCATTCATATCCCTCCTCCTTTTCCCAACCCACCCTTCTTCCAAATTCCCTCCTGCCTGTCCGTCACTTCGCTCTCCCCCGTCTCCCCATGTCATAATATTCACGATCAATGCCGCTCGCTATGCCTCAGTATCCGTCTCTTCCTCCTCATGCTGTTCCACCTTACCCTCTTCCTCATCCTCTTGTACATAATTGGTGCCTTTGCTCCCACGCTGTCATCGTTTATCCTGCAAGCAGTCAGCGCCGCCTTTGCACGCGAATTCGCTGCACCCACGTCCAGGAACTTTGGACGAATCGCACGCATGATGAGGTATTCATCTTCATGTTTACATGTGTACGCATACACACATACATACGCACGAGGACATATATGGACACATCGATACACACATGTGAAGATGTGTGCGAATTCATTAGAGGGCTACCAGATGGGGTCGGAGCAGATGGGGTCGGAGGATCTCGCAACATCGCCGATGCATCGGCGACGTCGATGCATCGACGACGTC